TTTGCTCAGCAAATAAAAGTTATTTTTGAAGCATAAATTAGTTGTTTTATTCACAAATCATTTGAGTATTTACTAGCATTTTACTAGGCAGTGTGGAATGTAAATACAATAGTAACAGCCATTTTAAATGATTTTTTTTAAATGCTGAACATCATGATAAAGATTTTACATTAAATAGCTCAGATTCTAGCAACAGCTCTATGAGTGAAATATCATTGTCTCAATTTAAGAGGAGGAACATTATTTTTCCAGCAGATGGGTGAGGTCACAAAGCAAGGAACAGACAGAGCTATATTAAAACCCAGGTTTGTCTAATGGTCAAACCTGGACTGGAGATCACCTAGGAAACTCCAGACTAGAAACTACACACTCAGCAGCAAATCACTCTTATATACTCGAGAATCTGACAGTTGATATTCTTTTCCTGTAATAAAATCTGTTTGTGTGGACAACTTTCAACAAACACTTCCTTTACTAATCTTATGGTTGCACTTTCCTCACAATTTTTTCAGCCCTCCATGTGTACAGGATTTTGGGTTCGGCCAGTAAACCCTGACCCAGCAATGGATGAACAAATGTACTCAGACACAGATATTCAGAGAAAGCGTGAGCGTAGGGATCTAGGCCTCTCACAGAGTCAGCAGCTGCAGCCCAGTTCAGTCAGCAAAGGTCGAATTTGTTTAGTACAGATTAAATGACAAAGGTTTTGAGTAAACACCACTACAGGGTAATTGACTTTCCCAATCCCCTGGAGCAGAGAGCCGTTTCCCCGCACATGTGATTAAAGGTTGGTCCTAGGATCACCTGAGTTAACAAGCTATTTAGACAAAGTCCTCTACATTCCTATGTATTTATGCCCTAAGCTTTTAAGATAATCAGTTGCCTTCAGCCAAACCTTCCAAGAAGGTTTGTGCCTATTTCCTATAACTTAATCTTTACAATTTCTCTTACAACTTTTCCCACCACCCTGACTGAACTCACTACAGAGTGAGAGTAGAATTCTGTCTAGAATAGCTTTAAGATGCACACAGCATTGACTTATGTCAGCTCCTCCAAGAAAATGAGAGGTAATGGGGACATTAAAATGTATTAAGAAGCATTTCTCTATGTCTGAGAAATTGTGCAAGAGCCCAATAGAATCAGTTTGAATATCAGAGAAATGCATTCTGAAAAAAAAATTAACTTCTGATGAATGTATTCTGAAGAAATACTTCTGAATTTACTTATTTTCCTCTTACTGAGTTTTTCATTTTAAATTACTAGATTTTTTACTGGACATGAAAAAAGGGAATAAATTTCCCACATTCTTCATCTGGAAGATTTTTGTTTAACTGATGATTGACTGGCAAGTTGAGAAGATATATTTAAACCTGCCCTTTCTCTTTGAATGCAGTACAGAAAGAGATATTGAAAATTAAAGACTCCACTTGCAATTTAGTGTGTTTGTAGATAATTTTCTTATATATATTTATTTAGGAGGACAACTTGCACTTTCAGTGAAAAAGTTAGAGATATTTGGCTGAAAAGAAAGATTACTTCTGGGCTACAACCTGTATCATTGAAGACTGCAGGCTTTAAAAAAATTAAAAGATTGTATTTTTAGAGGAGTTTGAGGTTTACAGAAAATTAAATAGATAGTACCATGATTTCCATATACCTCCTCTCCCCACCATGGCAGTTTCCCATATTATTTACATCTTGCATTATTGTGGTACATTGCTACAAATGATGAACCAATGCTGACAAAACACCCAGTAAAGTCAATAGTTTACCTTAGGGTTCATTCTTTGTATTGTACAGCTCCATGGGTTTTGTACAAATGCATAATATTGTGTATCTACTGCTACTCTATCATACAGAATAGTTTCACTGGCCTAAAAATCCCCTGTGCACCACCTATTCATCCCTTTCCTCCTCTGCACCCACAACTTGGCAATGACTGATATTTTAAGATTTCTAGAATTTTTCCTTTTCTAGAATGCTGTATTATTGAAATCATACAGTATATTGTCTTTTCACACTGGCTTCTTTCACTGAGCAGTGTGCATTTAGGGTTTTGCCAAGTCTTTTCATGGCTTGATAATTAATATCTTTATTGCTGACTAATAGTCTAGTGTGTATATGCCAAGTTTGTTTATCCTTACATATTTTGAGTGACGATTGGTTGCTTCCAATTTTTGGCAATTATGAATGAAGGTACAATAAGAATTTATATGTTGCTTTTGTGTGGACATGGGTTTTCAACCCCTTTAGGTAAATATCTAGGAGTGAAATTGTTGAATCATATGGCAAGATTCAAACTGTGTTCCAAAGTGGTTGCATCATTTTGCATTCCCACCAGGAATGAATGACAGTTTCTGGTGCTTCACATCCTTATCAGAAATTGGTATTGTATATTTTTTTAATTTTAGCCATTCTAATAGGTGTATAGCATCTCAATACTGTTTTAATTTGCAATTACCTAGTGACATAAAATGTTGAGCAACTTATGTTTACTTGCCATCTGTATAACATCATTGGTGAGATATCTATTCAGATCTTCTGTTTTTTTAAATTTAAGAGTTCTTTGTATATTTTCGATATAAATCCTTTATCAGATATCTGTTTTGCAAAGATGTTTCCTAATTTTTTGACTCTCCATTCTCTAATCTCAGAAATATTTAATTTTAATGAAATTCACCTTTTTAAAAATTTTTATGGATTGAAGATTCAGTGTTGGATGTAAAAAGTCACTGCCAAATAAAAGGTCACCTATGCTATCATCCCAGCTACTTCAGAGGGTAAGGCAAGAGGATCACATAAGCTCCTGAGCTCGAAGCTGCAGTGAGCCATGATGGTGCCAACCACACTCCAGCCTGGGTGACAGAGTGAGATCTCGACTCAAAAAAAAAAAAAATGTAGATCTTCCCCTATGTTATCTTATAGGAATTTTACAGTTTGGGGTTTAAATTTTGGCCTGTGATACATTTAAATTAATTTTTGTGAAATGTACAAAGTCTGTGTTTATATTAGATTTTTTGGTATGTGAATGTCCAGTTGTTCCAGCATAAATTCTTGAAAAGACTTTTTATCCATTGAATTTTCCTTGCTACTTTGTCAAGGATCTGTTGACTGTGGTTGTGTGCATCTATTTATAAACTCATTATTCTGTTTTCTTGACCTGTCTATACATTCACCAACACCAGTCTGTCTACAGATTACTGTAGCTTTACAGTAAGTCTTGAAGTTGGGTGATATACATTCTCTGACTTCACTGTTTTCCTTCAACATTGTGTTACCTATTATAGGTCTTTTACCTTTTCATGTACATTTTAGTATCAATCTAATGATATTCACAAAATAACGTGAGAATTTTGATTGGGAGATTGGATTGAATTTATAGATAAAATTGGGAAGAATAGACATCTTAACAATATTGAGTTTTTCTATACACAAACATGGAATGTTCTCAACTTATTGCATCTTTTTTGACTTTTTTTTATGAGTTTCATGATTTTCCTTATATAGAACTTGTTCACATTCTGTTAGTATTTCTTTTCTTGGGGCTAATATAATTGGTATTGGTTTTAATTTTGAATTCTAATTGTTCATTACTAGCATAAAGAAAAGCAGTTGACTTTCATATATTATACGTTTCTTGAATTTTTGCTATAATTGTTTAGTTCCAGAATTTTTTTTCTATTGTTGATTCTTTGAGATTTTCTGCGTAGACAATCATATCTGTGAACCAAGAGAATTTTATTTAGCCCTTTTTAATCTGTATACCTTTTCTTTTCTTGTCTTGTCTGTTGGCATTAGCTCGGTCTTCTGTATGACTTGAATAGAAGTACTGACTGAAGATACCCTTGCCTTGTTTCTGATCTTAGCATCTTAGCAGAAAAGCATTTATTCTCACCATTAATTATAATATTAGTTGTAGGGGTTTTTTTTACAGATGTTCTTTATGAAGTTGAGGGTATTCCTCTTCATCTTAATTTGCTGAGAATTTTTAAATAATGAATGGATGTTGAATTTTGTCAGATTATTTCTCTGCACCTATTGAGATAATCAGTATGAACATATGGCTCATTTTCTTTAGCCTGTTGATATGATGGATTGCATTAAATCATTTTCAAATGTTGAGTCAAACTTGTGAAACAGTGTATTTCCCCGACCCCTTCAGGGGTAGGAACTGAAGAGCATGAGTGCTTGCAGGGGTCAACTCCATTCACTTGCTGCTCTAGCCCTCACAGGAAGGGGAGTGTAGGTGGGTAGGTGTAGGAGCCAGGGCAAGTGCTTTTGGGCACCTGCAAGAGTCAACTCTGTACTAACTCTGTGGCACCAACTAGGGAAGGGTGCCCATGACCCCTGAAACCGCAGAGAGAGTGTTACAGTGCCCTTTTAGCTTTGCCATCCATAGATGGCTTAAGCATTAACAGCTCAGTGGAGGGTCAGTGTGACAGCCTTTTGTATCCACACTCAAGGCACCTGAATTCTTGTCCGATGTCCAGGAGGAATGAGGTTGCACAAAGAAATTGAAGATGGTAAATGTGGGGGATTTTCTTGTTGAACATGGCTGTCAATGGGAAAGGGAGCTGAAAAGCGGTCAGAGTGGGAAGGTAATCTTCCCCTGGAGTCTGGCTGTCCCCAGCTGACTCTTCTCCAAAGTTATGCCATCAAGCTGCTTCTCTCTAATGCCCCTCTGAAGTCAAGCTTCTTCTCTTTGATGTCCAGCCATAGTCTCTGATGCCCAACTGCATCTCCTGTGTCCGATGGCTGAGCTCTGCGGTTTTTATAGGAACAGAATGGAGGGCGGGGTCACAGGTGGTTTGCGAAAAGGCAACATTCGAGCTGGAAAACAGGGATGTAAGTTCTCACTTTGGGCCATGGTTCCAGGCTTTCTGGCTTGAGGGTGGGGCCCTCACTGGAGATCCACACTCTTCTGCCCAGAATTTCCCTGCCTCCTGTCCCTATCACTTGTATACTCAGAATAGATCCTCGCCCCTCCTGGCGGCCATTGTGTTTTGGACACTGAGACGGAGCTGGCAGCCGCTGCAGACCAAAGTCAGGAAAGGGCAGGCCGGGTGAACAGACGGATTTGCCAACTAGACGGCCAACCAGCAACAACAAACTAAGTTCGCATACTACCGCTTACGCATCTAACCAACTGCCCATCTACCTAACCCGAGCCCCTCCACCGTCAATTCAGGTTCGGCCGGTCCCTGGCCCGCCTGTCGGAGCCGTGGTGGCAGCGTCGGGAGGAACCCTGGCGTCTGTTCCCTTTGATTCTCGGGATTCGAAGATGGCTGCACAGTCAGCGCCGAAAGTTGTGCTAAAAAGCACCACCAAGATGTCTCTAAATGAGCGCTTTACTAGTATGCTGAAGAACAAACAGCCGACGCCAGTGAATATTCGGGCTTCGATGCAGCAACAGCAGCAGCTAGCCAGTGCCAGAAACAGAAGACTGGCCCAGCAGATGGAGAATAGACCCTCTGTCCAGGCGGCATTAAAACTTAAGCAGAAGAGCTTAAAGCAGCACCTGGGTAAGAGTAACACCCAAGCACGGTTAGGCTGACCCATAGGGGCCCTGGCCAGGGGAGCAATCGGGGGACGAGGCCTACCCACAATCCAGAGAGGCTTGCCCAGAGGAGGACTACGTGGGGACGTGCCACCAGAACCCTGCTTTGGGGCGTAATGCCGCCCCGAGGTCAAAACCTGCTCCGAGGTGGAGGAGACGTAGCTCCCCGAATGGGCTTCAGAAGAGGTGGTGTTCGAGGTCGTGGAGGTCCTGGGAGAGGGGGCCTAGGACGTGGAGCTATGGGGGGCCTGGGGGGCTAGGTTGTGGCGGAATCGGTGGTAGAGGTCGGGGTATGATAGGTCAGGGAAGAGGGGGCTTTGGAGGCCGAGGCCGAGGGAGTGGACGAGGGAGAGGTGCCCTCGCTCGCCCTGTATTGACCAAGTAGCAGCTGAACAACCAATTGGATGCATACACGTTGAAAACGGAAGGACACCTGGATGCTGAGTTGGATGCCTACATGGCGCAGACAGATCCCGAAACCAATGATTGAAGCCTGCCCACCCTCCCGTGAGAGACTCTTGTTAGTCGACACATCTGTAAATAACCTTGAGATAACAGATGAGAAGAAATCTGATTGATGCTGGATGGACCTATCACAACAGGCTATGGACTTACTTGCCACCAGCTTGTGCATTTAGTGTGTTCCTTTTACTTTTTGATACTGTATTGTATGAAGCCCTTTTGTCCTTTGATTTGTTTTTTTGTTTTTGTTTTTTTCAGGGGTGGAGTATTTTTCCCTCCTTTACCCAGACTTCTCTTTGATGCATTAGCCTTGTGGCTAGAACACCCTCTTCCTACCTCTGCCTTCCCTCACTTGTCAAATGCTCTGACATGCTAACATTTCTTTTGTTGATCTCTGTTGCCCCCACAGAAAGGTCCCAGAAAAAAAAAACAGTGTTCCTCCCTGATGCTTAGATTTCTGAGGTAGGGTTCTGTTACATCCTCTTCAATCGCCTCTTTAAAATGTTAAAATGCATTCTTCCACATTGATAATTTAGTAAATTGAGAACATTGACATCCCTACAGGGCAGCATAAGAGGTTGCTTACATGTGGTAGCAGCTCTGATCTGATCAAAGTTGCTGCCATGTACGTTGACACTACCTATAACCAGCGTGCTGGATTGAATTGTACTAGATTTCTACCCTTCTATGAGATTTATACACTTTCTCTTGGCTTTGTATCATGTCCAGAAGGGTACTATAGGGTTGATTTATACCTACAATATAGAGGAAGAAGCCATTTGATTTGGCAGGTGTGTCAGAATGAAGAATGATGGCAGATGAAGTGCTGGAAGGGGTCAGAAAATATCCATGCTAAAACGTAATTATCCTCATGTTTACCCCAAACCAATCTCGGACTTTTGCTTTATTTCACCCTTATTTCCCTTGAAAGTTTAATTAAGTTCAACCAATTGTCAACTGTTCCAGTTTCAGTGGAATCTGTATTTCTGGTTCATTACAACAAATTGTTTGCTCAAATCCAAAAAAAAAAAAGAATAAATCCCCCTTAGTCATGGTGTGCAATTCTTTTCACAGTGTTGGATTCAGTTTGTTAATTTTTTTCCAGCTTTATTGAAGCGTAATAGACAAATACAAATTTACGTATACACAAGGTACATAGTGATTTGGTATATGCCCACATTGTAAAATAATTACCATAGTCAAGATAATTAACATAACCATCATTTCATATAGTTACCATTGTGTGTGTGAGCTGTTGCCTAAATTTTTGTGTGTTTTTTAGTTTTTAGACGTCTTAAAATTTTATTTTTAATTTATAATAACAATTGTATATACGTGGGGAATACAATGTGATGTTGTGATAAATGTTTCCATTGTGAAATGAATAAGTCAAGTTTTTAATTAAAAAGTCCATCAAGGCAATAGAGTAGTGCAGGAGAGGAGAGAGACTGAGCTTAACTCTACAGCCTGGGCAGGTGGGAATTTAGAGCTATGAAGCAGTGTGGGAGTCAGGGGATAAAAAGTTACAAGAGGAAGGAAACATTAGGGTGAGGGGGATTCTGGTTAAATCGTTCTAGTAGGATTCTTGCTGAAGCCAGATGGGGGTGATCAGACCTCACCTGGGGACAGTGGAAGATGCAGACCCTGATCTCATATGGAGTATGATCAGATATCCAGCATGGGGGTGGTGCTTGTTAAAATGACTTAGCAAGGATTTTTGTTAAAACTGGATTTTTCAAGGACATACATAGGTGGGCCTAGGAGAGTTCAGGGTGCTAAGTAAGGCTTCAGCAAGCAATCTTTGCCAATACCAACAAACAAACCCCAAACCCAAGAGGCTTAAAACTTAAAGTTTGTTTATGATTTTGGTTATTCTGCACTCTGCAATCATCAGCATAGAGTATTAAGCCAGGGATAGCTAAGGGCTTTATGACTTGTTTCTAAATTGTGACCATCAGCTCCCTCCAAATCTCTAACAAATCTGATAAATTCATGAATCAAAGCTAATTCATGAATCAAAGCTATTCAAAGCTAAAAGGGTACAGTAAAATGTACAAATTTGATAGAAAAAGCAGATTTTGATTTAAATTAGAAAAGAAACTTCTAAAAAATTAAATATGGTTTCAGTTTTACCCAAGGAAACGGCACAGGTTACTGCTGCATGGAAAGTGCCAGGCACATGATCCAAAGCTACTGAGACAGCAACCAGGTCATTTCATTTACTTTAAAATATGTATAATCTGGGAGCGCGGAAGATGCTTTCAGATTAAAATAAAAGGGCTTGGCTTGTTCCAGTGAAAATAATAGAGACTTTATTGAAATAAATATTTTACCTGAATGACTTGGACAATTTGCAAAATTTTCATTTGAGGGTGATTAAGTTGTTTGCTCTTCTGACCAACTCTCTTTATGTAATGTCAACTGTAAGATCAATTATTTGCACTCTTATTGCAAATACTGGAATGTAAAATGCTTCCTCTTCGTTGCATTTTTATTGCAAATATTGGAATGTAAAATGCTTCCTCTTGGTTGTATAATGGGGGATAGAGAGGCTTTCATTCTGCTATTTAAGTGAAGCTTGATTCATTTACCTTTGTTTTCAGCCTTCATGATTCAATTATAATTACAATCACGTATGATTCTGAATATTCACACAATGCAGTTTTTAATTGCTCACTTTATTGGCTGTTGTCAGATCATCACTGAGTGCATGTGGCAGAGTTTCTCAGCCTCAGCACTGGTGACATTTTAGGCTGGATAATTCTGTGTTGTGGGGGCCTGTCCTGTGCATTACAGGATGTTTAGTAGCATCTCTGGTCTCTCCCCATGAGATGACAGTAGTACCCACCCAGCCCCATTTATGACAACGAAAACATCTCCAGATATTGCAAAATGTCCTCTGAAGGACAAAATCATACCTTGAGAATCATGGGTTCAACGTTATCATTGAGAAACTGACAAAGTCTTAATCAGTTTATTAAAAGTACACAGTTATTTGCTAATATTGAGAAAGAGTGTTCTCCCACTATATATTGTCTGTTTAGTAACAATAAATATTCTAACCCTCTTTATAAAATATTTACCAAGGGTGCTGCATGAAATAACATTAGATATTTTAAAAACTAAAATGGAATGCTTATTTGACTTAGTCTGTGCTCCATGAGCTTAAGGTAAAACAGGGTTTCTAGCCATGCAAGTGACTGAACCAGAGCAGAGGAAGGGGAGTGGGCTCAGAGGGAGAGCAGAAATGCCATGGCCACAGACGAGAGCGAGGAGAGGAATCTGCTTCCTACCCGGTTCCCCTCTCAGCCTCCTGTCTCTACATCCTCCACTCACACTAACTGATTCAATCACATCACTCTCCTGTCATTTGACGGTGTCCCTCCTGGCCTCTGCCTTGTAGACACCTTCCTACATTGTCTCAAATCAGTTTCTGAACTGAGTGCAGAATTCTGCCTGCCACATGCTCTCCAACTCTGGTGTTAGATTCTCTCACATAAGCCATGTCTAATTTGTTCTGTGTCTGGAACATGACCTTATGGCTTCAGAATTTGAACAATTAATTACCATGATGACAAAAATGAATAAGCCCCACTGAGAATGGGTTGTTTGTATGCACAGTGACCATAGGAAACCGATATGTAATAACAATTGACTTAAGCATTCCATATAAACATAAAACTTCCAATCATTTAAAAATATTTATATAGATGATAAATTTAATATACAGTATCAGCTGCCCCTGGTATTGACCCTTTCTGACCCTGTCACCTCACACAGTTTTCTTCTGATACAACACCTGTCCACTCATTGCACAGACCGTGTCATTGCCCTAATTGTGAGCGTCTGCTGTTTCAGCACAGGATGGGCCCTAGGGCCCTGCTGAATTCATGGTGTCCAACATTAGAGAGATTAATCAATGTATTTTTCCATTTGTGTTTTTCACCTGGCCTGGAAATGAGTGTTTCAGCTTAGACGCCAGGCCAAAGTTCAGACAAATGCCCCAGAACTGGAGTGAGGGGAAGGAATTCCACTGCAGGGAGCAAAACATCCAAGAGGTATCTCTAACCTACAATCATAGCATGTTTGTTCATCTCTAGGCACAGTGAAAAACGATATTTACCTGCTTTATGCATCCGTCGGTACCCTAGATCTAGACACCACACAATGCACACTGCAGAGTGTCTCTGTGTAGGGCGAGGCAATTAGGCCTTTGCACTGAGGTTATGCTCTCTCTCTCAGGCGAAGCTCTGCCTAATCCTCAGGCAGCCCTAGGCTACGTCAAAGGTGAATGTGTCTGTGATACCTCCTGTGCTTTTTCTTCTCATGCTCCTGCCCTTTTCTGCCTCTGTGTGCCAAATGCAGAATCTCTTATGCTTTTTAAAAATAAAATCTGGTTTCTGCAGGGATGGGGACCTTGCTATTGTTAGTTTTCCCCCAATCTATACATTTGCCAATGATCTAGAGATGTAATGGAAACATTTTTATGCTGGTCCAAGTGAAGAGCAGTTTTGTGACCAGTAACTACTTGGTTTCAAAAAAGATTTCATTTCTATGCAGAAGGTTATGATGTTGCATGTTTTTATTTCCTTTTCATTGGCTTATTTCTAGTTCTAGCAAAGGTGAGGAGAATATCTTTTCTGGATTTGAAACCTCCTTTCACTTTAGGGTCACTTATGCCCTATCCTTCCCCCAAATGCATTGTGAAAGATTAGAGCTGGAATTTTTAATCTATCTTACTCACTTTTACAAAACTTCTTTCTAGAATATTGTGTGCCTGGGGACATAAGAGATACTGAATGCATATATGTTAAAAGAATGAATGGATGACCCAAATATTATCTGAAACTTCACTGGGTGCTTTGAGTTTTTACAATAAAGTTCTTATTCACTCTTCCCAGTCAGGGTAGGCAGTTTCTGTCTTCAGTGTATGGCTGGAGTTAGCTAGAAAATGGGCAGGTGCTATCAATCTGGGTACAATTTAACTTAGGTTAACCCGGATTACCTACTGCATGGTTTTTGAAGGTTCATTGCAAATAATGCAGTTATCCAAGGCAAAACACTAAATATTTCTAGGCCCATTTCATTCCTTAAATATTTTTGCCTTTCAGTAATGAATATTCATTTCTGGGATTAGATTTAAATACAGGTCTGAATTCAAATTTCTTATTTTGATTAAAGTTACTTAATTTTTTGTTTTGTTTTGTTTTTTGTTTTTTTTTGAGATGGA